GAGTAACTCCGACGCCTTTTAAATGATTAAATTAATCAAAAATGTCAATCGAAAAACAGGAGGTTGCCAAATGAAAAGATCTTAGCGTACTCAGTTTTACGTACCGTGAATTTTCGTAAACATCGTCAAGACAGGTTCAGCTTCTCCAAAATTATCTAACCTAAAAAGAGAAAAGGTCATTTAACATGCTGTATTCATTTTTCCTTTCATCTTTTTTTTAAGAATGAAAACGGTTTATTATGAATAAAAAGTATCGATTTAGAAATAGAAAAACATTTATACAACGTAATAAGCTGGTTATTCGATGGATGAATAAAATATTTTTATGAAAAATACGCCAATCATTAATGTTATTCGCAATTCTAACCTTTTGAGATGACCTGTTTCAATAATTTCCGCGATCTCAATAAAATATAAAATTAGCACAAAAATATAATAAAATTGCAGCAAGCAATCGTCCCAGAATATTTAACTCACTTTCTTTGCAGTGCAATCTCCAATCCCAGGAATTTTTTTAGCTTCCTCAAAAGTAGTTATAGGTTTTTCCTGTTTTTTCAATGCAGATATAGCTTTACGATAAGCCAAAATTCGCCATTGATCTTTGCTTGTTTTCTGATAGTACTCCAATATCAAATTAAGCTAAATTTAATAAAAATTGGTAAGTTTATTTTCTTGCAATAGTTTAATACTTGACACAGAAACAAACCTACCTTATCGATAATTAATTTATTCGGATTTTCGTCAATTTCTCCATATGTGTGCTTATGCATACAGACGAAAGAGTTTTGATATCTAGAAAAACGATTCTATCCCAAAATTCAATAACAATTCATAATATCATTTTTCAATTATATAAAAAACATATAAATACTATTGTTTTTAAGCGGAAAATTTCTCCCTCGCCTGTTTTACTTATTGGTGAAACTGGATTTTTCGGAGGAATATTATTAACATTAACATGTGATCCCAACGTTTTCTCTTCATTTGCTGAATCTAAAGGTCGGGCAGATGAGCTTGATACACTCGACTCTTCTTGATCATAAGCTTCATCTTCTTCATCCGAATAGATTCCCTATTATAATTAAATTAGTGAAAATTCAACAAATCAATGATAATTAATCTGGTTACCTCTTCAGTAAGATGCCTCGCTTCTGCAATAATCTCCTTTAAGGGATCTTGGGAAGCGTTTACCAATTTGTTATCGTCGTTATTATAAGAAGTCTTGGTAATGTTCAAAAAACTTATTTCGGAATCTGAACAGCAACTATAATTTTTTGCGGATGTTTCATCGTTGCTATTGTTTTGTTATTAAGCAAGCAGAGAGTTTATCATTTGTTTAGTTACAATAATGATAATAATAAAGTGATTATTGAAATAGAATTAACTTGGTGGTAGTATAAGTAGTTGCTGTAGTCGCGTCTTTTTCATCGAGTTTTCGACTGATGACAGCTTCGTGTGATTTTGTGCCATTTAAATGGACAACATAATTATCAATCTCTACAAGCCTGTCATACTGTTCACTGATAGTTAGTCCAATAATGTATTTGGTCAAAATAATACAAACAGTCGCAGAACCGACAAGTAACAAATACCATGATTGAATCCGAAATCCAATTCGCGTTGACAACTTTTATTTCATGCTTAATTATAAATTATAATCCCAATGTAAAACGTATTGACCAATAATTTATGTATCAACAATAACAATATAAACCTGCAATAATTCGTCCATTTTATTGATATTCAAAGCATGAATTAATTTCTTCCCCTTCAACTCCGTAATGATATGGGTCACATCATGAATAATGAATACTTCCAATACCGATCCCCCTCTTTCCTTGATTCTCGTTTTCAAAAGTTCCAATCTCACTCTGTCAATATTTTGTGGCACTATAAAGATTCTCAAATCTTTGAATATTCCATTGATCCATTTTACAATTGACTTATCTTGTGACGTTCCCTCTACTTTCTTCTTTCTACCTCGTTTTTTCTTTGGTAGCTCAGAATTCGACTCTCCTTCATTCGTTACTTTCTTCTTTCTACCTCGCTTTTTCTTTGGTGGCTCAAAGTCAGACTCTTCATTTTCTACTTTCTTCTTTCTACCTCGCTTTTTCTTTGGAGGCTCAAAGTCAGACTCTTCACTCTTTACTTTCTTCTTTCTACCTCGTTTTTTCCTTGACGTTTCGGAGTTCGATTCTTCTTTGAGTTTATTATCATTAATATCGCTGTTGATATTGCTTGATATTGTATTGTTTCTTATTACGGTGTATTTGATTTTGTTATGCTTATGTGATTCGCTGGTTTCTTCTACTTTTATGAACTTTGAAACTTGAAATGAGTAAGTAGACAAGGGAGAATTTGACGTTTCTTTAGAAATGGTGTCATTATTATCTTTATAATTGGTTGTGGTAAAGGAAGAGGTAGAGGCGGAAGAGGTTTTAGAGGGGGAAATAGTGGCTATTTCCGCTTGTTCGTTTTTCGCGTCAATTATTGTAGAATTACTCGCCATTCTACACAAAATACGCGTAAACTGATTTAACAAAAGTATTTTTTTCATCCAAAAAGTGTAAAGTAGATGCTCAAATATATATTTTTTTATAAGTTTTTACTCTAATACAATATTTATTATTGTTTGCAGGTAAATAGATCATATAAAAATAACTCATGAAAAGTTGGCGCGAAGAAAAAGCAAACTTATGTAATCAAATATTGATCTGTGCGCAGGAATTTATGTATGATTTATTGCGATGTTCAGATATCGATCTGTGCGCAGAAATATTGTTTTACCCGATACATATTTGTTTATTACGACGAACTAAAGACATAAATCAATTACTAAACAACCAATTGGCACATGATACATTAAGTTCCCTTGTTTGATCGGTTTCAAATTTTCAAAATGTAGTTTGAATCTTGAAGCCTTGACTATTTTGATCACGTGAATATAATGTATTTAGTTTTGAATATATGTATAATTACTTTGTAATATTCAGTAAATTTGATATATTTTCAGCAAAATCATATTATTCAATTATATTTTATTTGTAAAAATTAATTTTAAAAGAAATCTTTTGTAAATTTTTTTATTTATTTTTAAAATATTTCAAATTTTAATATATTAAAATTATTTAAGTTAAGTTAGCGATAAAATAAAATGCAATATTAATCAAAAAGAAATAAAATTAGAACTTAGATTTTTTATTAATTATATTTAGTAAAACATATAATAAAAAATCTTTAATTTTAAATTTCTTATTTAAATCAAAATCAAAATAATATTTACTAATTTAATATATAATTTTCAGATTTTTCTAGTAATTATTCAAATTATATATAAAATTAATTAATTTTTAACTTATATAAATATAATTTTTTATATATTTTTCTAAACTTACAAAATTATATTATAAAATTCTAATATACAATGACAATCAAAAGTAATATAATGCTTAAATTTTTTACTAATTATAATTAGTAAAAAATTTAAGTATTTAATTTATTAAATAATAATTATTATCTTTACTTATATAATTTATAAATAATTAATAAAAATTAATAAGTAAAAAAAAATTTATTAGGATAATTAATTTTTATTTTTAAATAAAATTATTTAATATATAATAAATATAACTAATATTTTGAATTTTAAAATATAAAATCTATTTAATATTATATATATTATATATTTAAAATTATAATTTTATTTTAAATAATAATTAAAATATATTTTAAATTAAAATTTTAATTGAATATAAATAATTTTTAAATATTAATTTATATTTATAGTTTAATTCTAATTACAGTGGTGACCAAAAGTAATGACTCAAATGACTCAGAAGTTAAATTTACTAATAAAACATAGTGAAAATTGAAATTTTCTCTCTATATAAAAATTTATA